CGTTTTCATGAAAGAAAACATCTCTGAAAAGGATTGGTTACAAAATGAAGTATTTTTAACAATCCTGTAATGATGCACACGGCAGAAAAATGCTGCTGGCCCTGATTTTTCTAGGCTTTCTTAGAGAGCGAGGGTGGGGGCAGGGGGAACTCACAATCAGACATAAGGTCATAGCTTTCTTTTCTTGAGAATCAGGGCAAATAAAAAAAGAAATGTCTATATTTGGTGTTCAAACAATCCTTTCCAGTTTGAACCAAACCTTTCTCCCTAAAAGCACATCCTGAGTGCCCCAGATCTGTGAAGTGACAGACATGTCGCTCTTTCCGTTCTCTACCTCTGCTGGATTAGTCAAGTCTGTCCTCCCCCTTCCCAATGTCCTGCCTGCAACAATACATGGGTGCCCTTTTACAAATTACAGTGGTCCCTCACTTACTGTGGAGGTTACGTTCCGGACAGCCCCATGATAAGTGAAAACTGGCGAAGTAGTGGCGCTGTATTTATCTTAGTAGTTATGTACATTTTGAGGCGTTACAAACCCTTTCCACACTCTTATAGACCTTTCTCACACTTTTAAAAACAGTTCTAATGTTCTTAACTATTTTCTAAACTTATAACTTACAAAATTTTAAATATATATTGTATGGTATTGCAAAATGCTGCGACATAGCAACAATCTGTGATAAATAATTTAGATTAATATTGTTTGAAAACCCACGAAGTAGTATGTGAAAGCTGAGCCGCAAAATAGTGAGGGATTGCTGTAACCATGCCTGGTGGTTAGTTCTCTCCCTTCGCCTTTAGTGAGAGAATCCCAACCCTAAAATGACAGTGCAAGAGTCTGGGAGAATGAAGAATTTCTTCAAGTGTTGTGAAGTAGAAGAAATTACCCAAAGCGTGTCTCGCCAGGCTTCACATAACACTGTTAGACTGAAGAGGAACAGTATTCTCACCTGTAAATCATAGTCAATAGAAGCTTCAAAAAGCTAAATGTACACTTAGAAATAGATGCTAATTTATAAGTTCATAGCCATGTTTCTCAGCCCCAGGTGTGCGTCAGAATCATTGAGAGGACTTGTGAAAACACAGCTGGCTGGCCTGCTCCTTGTGAGTCCAGATTTCTAGGTGGGAGCTGAAAATCTGCATTTTTTCTAGGCCTGTAGGTAATGACAACCACAGCCCTGTAACACAACTATGACAACTATCCCTTTGCTAATTGTGGCAGTGGGACAGGCACTGGGATGGAGGCAGCAGACCTATGTTCTCTGTTATTGTAAGCGCTTTTTTTTTTTTTTTTGCCAGCTCAGCCCACCCTGAGGGTGGGGCTGGCGCAGCATGTGGTGCCTGGCATCGAACCTTGGTCCCCTGCACCTGCCTAAGCTTGCCTAAGCAGGCACTGTAAACCACTGAGCTATCTCTCTGGCCCCTCTGTTACTGTAAGTGCATCTTGGGCCCCTCACTCTGCTTCTGCCAGGTCTTGCTGAGTACCTACTATGTACAAGGTGTAGAAAAGTATCCTTAAGGAGCTTTCCTATGAGTAGCTAGAGTCAGATCTGTCCAAATTGCTAAATTTACATGCCAGGAGTCATAAAGAGATATAAATGCTATTGTAGGCTTCACAAGAAAGGTAGTGCAAGTGCAGACAGCCACAGCAATGGTGACATCCTAATAGAGATAAGGGTGAGGCTGAGGGGACCACAAGGAACCAGCAGACACTTCTGGGCAGGAGTGCAGTACAGTCACATGGTGTTAGGCTAGTCAGGACTCTGCAATGCTTGTCACTCAAGCTCCACACCCATTTAAGCAAAAAAAGGAGAAACTGACTACCTCAAGCAACTTCAAAGCCAGGGGTGAAATCAGCCCCTCCTCTTTCATCTCTGCTTTCAGGACCCAGCATGGGACACAGATGTGACCATCAGCCCTGGCTTTACTTTCCATGTAAGTACCTTGTGTTAACTGACTATGCTATTGGAACTGCCTAGCTTTACCTTCTAGGGACATAGTGACTAAGACCTAAGGGTGACAACACACTGTCCATCCCAATGAGTCAAGAGGCTTGAGCACTGCCTGGCTAACCCTAGGTCAGATGCAGGCGTAGTGAGATCAAACCCTCCATCCCCACTCAAGTGCACCCAGCCCCCAGACTATGTGAAGTTGAGCTGGTTTCTCAAAAAACCAAACAAACAAATAAAACAACAGGTGCTGTTTTCAAAAAGTCTCAGGGATACCATATAGGAAACAACAAAGTTATTACAGATATAAGTAATCCAAAAGCTATTGGGTTATCAGAGGGGACCCAGTACAGCAAACTGGTCCTGACACAATCTGGCTTCCATTCTCCAGGATGCCCTAGCCCACAGCACCTCTGTTCTTGGCAGCTAGGACCCACATGGTACCTGTCCACATCTTGGAGGTGGGTGAGGCCCTCCAGGCCATCACCTCCAAATATCTCATTAGGGCAGGTAGGGTCAGTTAGCTACCACATAGATGTTTCCCTTGCTGTTGTCCTGAAAGTTTCCTTAATCTGGCTCTGTGGGGGTTGCTGTGGCTCCTCTGGGCCCCAAGCAAGCCAAGTGGCACTGCCACTTGCGGTCCTTTGTTGACTACTTCCTCCAAGGCTCTTAGAAGGGAGCCAGGGATGAGAGTGGTAGAGGGGCTGGCTCTCCATCAAGCCCTATTGCTCTTTGTCCCCCAGAAAGTGTTGCGAGGGCATATACAGATCTGTCTGCAGAAGGCCACTAACAAATGCAGCTGCCTTCCTTCTGCTGCCAAAGGCCCAGAACTACTCCAGGGTCAAACAGGTCAAAGGGCCCTCTGGCCCAAGAGCAGGCCCCTCCTAGACTCCATCTAAGTGCAACAGCACTGGTGCTCTGGGTGGCATTCATTTCCCTTCTGTGGGACCTCAGCTTTGGGCTTCCTCTGACATGCCAGGGCAGGCTGGGAAAAGGCACCAGCCACATCAGCATAGCTGCGTCTAGACTTCCGTGCAGGAAAGGGCCTCACTTGTGGTTTCTAGGGCCAGCCTTCCTCATAGCCCCTAAAGCTGCTTGCAAAAGACTAAGTCACAGGTGCAAGCAGGAGCACCCACATTTCTACTTCAGGATGGACTAGTTCGAAGTGAGGCTTGAGTCTGGGCTGCCTGGACACAGTGTAGACACCCATATGGCTGGGTTTCTAGGACTGAGTCTCCTCACAGATCGACAACTGCATGGGTTCTGCAGGGAGTGGGCTAGCTTCATTCCTTGACTTGCTTCTTTGAAGCCATTTTATGGCCCATGATTATTCCTTCCAAATGTGGAGGAGGAAGAGAGGCCACCTCTCAACCTCACAGGTCACTTTCCTGACAGTGGCACATCTGGCAGGGCCACCACAGCTGCAGGAGCTCCAACTCCTCCCACATTACACCCCTTTTCTCTATGAAATACTGCATTTGCTGAAAAAGTACAGAGGGTAGGAAAATGTTTTATAGCACATCTGGCAGTTTGAATGATGTTATTTACAACAGCTATAAATTGATGTGCTAGCATTTCCTGTTATCAAAGTGTTTAAATAAACCAATACATGTTACAACTCTCCTAAATTTAGAATCACAATCTGTCTAATTTAAACAGACACTGAGTTCTCTAGCCACACTTTCTCCAAATGCTGGGTCAATTAGACATGACCAGCTATGCCAAGCCTATAAAGACTAAAGATAAAATATGTATAACTAGCATAGAGGCTGGCCTAGACCACTGGGAAATCCCATTAAAAGCATTTCAATAATAAAGTCTATTCAATTCTATGTTATGAAAAGGAATCCTTTCTTTCAGTGGCTATAAAATCATGTATGTCAAAAATTATGTCTCTTTTTCAGGGAATTGCACTTGTTCCTTAAATACACAACACCCTGAATGAGGCAACTAAGGAAATTTATGAATTTCCAGTAATGGCAACTATGTCATGCACATTAGCTAACATGGCTCCAGTAATGGCGAGAGGAAAGAGCTTAGCCTTTCCTTTTACTGTGTTATGGCCTGAGTCTCCCAGCACCTTGGTGCTCACGAGTGGCGCTTCTTGGAGGTGGGTGGATCACAGGTACAGGATGACTAAACAGGTTCAGTACAGTTCTGGGTGTGGATAATGGAAGCTCCACATGAGTGTGGGCGGCACCACCCAAATGCTTGTAGCCTGGATGGAATGTAAAGGGAAAAGATGGAAGGCAGGCTGCTGCTTGCTACTTTACTGTCTTCTACCTGCTCTGCCATGGACTGTCTCTCCTCTTACATGCCACCAAAGCCAGCCAGAGGCTGAAAACTCTACAAAGTCTAAGCTAAATAAACCTTTTCTCCTTTGGGCATCAAGTATTTTGCCTGAGCATTGAGAAAGATAATTAAGACAAAAAGGTACAGGGCACAACTTGCATTAATATTTATTTTTTAAAAAGCGATGCAGCTGGACATACTGTCATACATCTGTAATCCCAAATCCTGTGGGAGGCTGAGGCAGAGGGATCATGAGTTCAAGCCCAACTTATTAACAGTTTGGTAAGAACCCATTTAAAAAACAAAAACTAAAACAAAAGCAAAAACAGACAAAAAAGCAGGGCTGGTGATGGAGCTAAATGCAAAGGTCCTAGATTAAATCCTTAATACAGAATAACAAATAAACAGGTTTCCCATGCTGAAGGAGTGTGAAACAGTGTTTAAAGGCTGCCTACTGAGGGATCCTGCTTTGCTAGACAACCCCATGACTCACTAAAAGGCAGCCACTCTCAGGCACAGTCTCTCCAGATGACCCTGAGCACCCTGAGGACAGGTGGGTGTGAGTCTGAAGGGGCTCCTTGGTGCCAGTGCCCCCATCATGGTCTGCACGTTGTGTCCAGCAGTGATTAGCAGCCTGACCACAGCACATAGCTTACCATGGTGGTCACATACTGGGAAGTAAGAAATAACTCATCACTGCAAAATTTGCCTTGAGCCAGATTCAAGTAAAAAAAATAAAAACAAAAAAGCCCAAAAATATGTTCTTTAATATCTTCTTTAAAATATTTATATGGATTAACTTTATTGAAAGTGAAAGCACAGAGAAAACCAGCAACAAGAGATTTTTCCCAAGATCAGACCCCTGGTGGTCCTTGTTAATTTACTGGGAAGGAAAGCGCCCACTCACACAGCGTGAGCTACTTGTTTTTGCTGAGTGTTCTTTGCTTCTCCGCGTGCTCCACAATCTTCTCCTCCACATGGAGCCCCTTTCGCTTCCGCACAGCATTCATGTACTTCCGGGCCTGGTTCTCGGAGTCCGCCTTCTCCCCAAAGTGCAGGTACTCCTCCTCTGTTGTGGGCACCCAGAAGGGGTCACTGGGGATGATCTTGTCAAAGAAGGGGACAGGCAAATATGTTTTAAATGCATTTATCAGGCTCTGGAATTCATAACTTTTTTTTTGGTATTCATATCTTTAGCTAGTGAAAACATCAGGCAATGAACATACAGTTAAGCTTGCTAAGAACCATGGGAGCTGCAGACAGAGCAAGTTTAACAAAGCCTGCAACATCTGTATGAGCCTGTGTCCTTTCCAAACACTAAGAAAGAAAAGTATTAATCTTTAATAAAAATCCCTAAAATGTTCTCCTTTTGCCTTGGATATACCCAAGTGTTCATGTCTGCAGCCATTTGGCCTTCATCCTGACAAAGACCAACACACATACACATTTCTGGTTATTTTGAAATTTCCACATTTTTGCTCTAGAATCAGTCACACTGGTGAGCTGCTGCAGGTGGGCCCTGGCAGACACAGCAGCTGGTCTTCCCCTCTCTGTAGCCTCAGAAAAGACAAGTTTAGGGAAGCACGCCCAGGCCAGCTGCTCCCAGAGGCTACGCCTGAAGGAGAGAAGGGCATAGCTCCAGGGCAGGGGTTGCAGCCCTGGAGATGGTTGAAAGCTGAGGGGTAGAACACTGTGCCCCTTTCTGTGTGGAGAAATACTACACTCCATCTTTCTTTGCTGAAGGGAAAGCCCTAGAACTGACACTGGCCTCTCTGCCACCTCACCCACGGCCCCATGAACACTGACCAGCTGCTAAGTGTGAGGTAAGAGCAGCCTGGCTTTCTCTCTTTTTGCACACTGGAAGTACGCCATCTGCTGTGTTCTGTTCTCTGTAAGAGTAGACTGCAGTGAGGACCTTGTCCAGCCCACTGTGTAGCTATAGACCAGGCAACAAGAAGCCTTCTTGTTTACAAAGATCACATTTCCCAATATCACCTTTATCAAGAAAAAAGTGAGAACTTGTCCTTTCTATCCCATTTTTTTGGTTATTTTTATTATTTCTCAACTGGGGAAAAAGGTTATTTGTGGCCACAAATTCTACCACTTTTCAGTTAAAAGATAGAAATGAAAGGAAATCTATTTTTTAAAATACTCAATACTGAAAGGGAAATTCTTGTTGGCCAGGAAGGGAGAGGATTTTGGAGGGGAAAAGAGACCATTGGAGTCACAGGGGTGAAAATCTCATGTACAGCTCACAAGGAGCTACAGCAGACATGGGGGGGTGGTCCTGTCCACAGTCATCACGGTTTTCATGTGCACAGGCTGCCCCTGCTCTCCTCTGGAGCTGTGGCAGATACAAGTTACAAGCTGTGATACAAAAGCAGTCACCTCTGGAATCAGACTTGCCTGTGTGAAGTCCATTGTCCTGTGCTCTTGGTGCTGCTGAAGCACCTAGTTGAACCATGGTCAAGGACACAGTGGTCCTTGGCAGGCAGAGGGAAAGGATGAGTCCATCATGACACGGCCAACAGTGAGGTCACCCAAGGCAGAGCACAGGATGGGCAGATTCTCAATTGCAGATGACCTTGGAGGGAGGACCGTAGAGCACCATGGGAGACAGAAACCAGGCTCAACCCAGAAGAATTCCTCTGCAGCTCAGGAGATACAAGAGCTACCTGAAGATGGCTACAGAGAGTACACCCTTAGCTTCCTCAGGGTAAAAGATAAACGGCACAGATTACACCACTGCTAAAGGAAATGACCAGAAATCCTAGAGAGATAAACTCAGTAGGTAGGCTAAACAGAAGACCACTGAGAATACAGTATGTGAACAGGTAGATAGAATTGACAATATATAAAGAGGCAGCACAGAACTCTGGTATCAACCAAAAACCTGAACAGACATTTCTCCAAAGTGAACAAAGGGATAAGATATAAATGAAAAGATGCACATTCTTGTCCTTAGGAGAGCACCGAATCAGAACCATAGTGAGCTACCACTGAAGGCCTACTAGCATAGCTTGTACTGAAAGTACTTTTTTAAAAAAGAAAAATAAATGTTGGCAGGCTGTGAAGATATCGGAAGCCTCACACCCTGCTGGTTTGAATGTGAAATGCTACCATTGCTGTCGAAGAAATTTTGGCAGTTCCCCCCAAATTAAACATAAAATTACCATATGATCCAATTCCACGCTAGTATATACCCAAAGGAAATGTCAGTGTCCAAGTTCACTCACTTCCTTCCCAACAGCCAAGAGCAGGAATGCCCAACTGTGTATGCACGGATGAGTGGCTAGGTGAAACACAGGCTATTACACAGCCACAAAAAGGAAGGACCTGCTGACACATGCACCTCTGTGTTAAGTGAAATAGACAAGAAAGGCTACATATTACATGACTCCTGTATTTAATTCTATGGAGACAGAATGCAGATTAGGGATTTACTAGCAACTGAGGGTAGCGAAGAAAGGTGAGAAAATGCTAGTGGGAAAGGAGCTGTATTCTGGATTGTTTTGGAGGTGGTGAATACACTAAATGCAAAAGAATTATTTTAAAATGGTTACTTTACAATATATGAATTTTACCTCAAATTATTTTTAAGACAGACTTACAAATACAGTACAGAGACAGAAATTTTAAAAAGCATGAAAGAAAAGTCCACAGTCATAAAATACATGTGAGGATTTCTCTGACAGGCATTCTAACATCAAAGAACAAGAAGTGAGTCCTTAGCTGCCCCAAACAGGGGCCGTGGGTGCTCAGCTCTGCTACCTGACACCATGGGAGGAGAGGCAAGAGCGAGTTGGGGCTTTCTGCATCTGGGCACCCAGGCAGACACAGAGAAAATCAGAGAAGCCAGATCACCTGCAGAAGAATATGCACCAGCTACAGTACACGCCAGGGCAAGAGGAGGTGCTGCCAGTGCCTCAGTGGAAGCCCAGAAGTTGGTGCCTAGTGAAGCTATCATCAGGGCACCAAGGAGAGACTTTGGGGGTAGACTGGAAGCACACTCATGGAAACAACTAAGCAATGTCCTTTCAGCAAGAGCAAATAAGCCCAAAGCAACAGCAGACTGAAAGAAGTTAAGAGTGGCTAGAAAGAAAAGTGTAGGCTCCAGCTTTGCAGTATCTGAGAGGGAGTCTGCAAGATGAAGCTACATGCACTTGGGAGTGAGAAAGGGGCAGGAAAGTGCCAAGGGGCGACTGCATGGAACTGTGACTGAGAAGATGCAACCAAAAGGAGGAAAGGAGACCCATCCTGTGGGTCTGAGGGAGTGCACCCCAATCCTGAAGACTCAATTCCAATCTACCTGCTGCTGTGCCCAGCTTGGCCAGGTGCAACTACAGGTGAGGAACATCACCATGACACCAGCTAGGTGAGTCTGTGGCTCAAGCCTGGACTGGAAGCTTGAGGGTCAAAAGCTACCCCTATCGGGACCACAAAGGAGCCTCATGGCGACAGGACAATTCAGTATCTTCATTATGTGGTTACTACACACACTGAGCAAAAGACAATGGAGTCTGGAGTCTGGACTGGATTGTGTCCCAGAGCCACTGCACCAGCCCTAACTGTGTAAGCAGCAAGTGCTGTGGCACTACGGTCCTGAAGCCAAGACACCACTGACAGCAGGGCGATATGGAAATTAAGGACCCCATGAAAGCCATGCTTCGAGGCACCTGCCAGGGCCCTGCTGTGTGCGGCTCCTATGCCTTTCCCTGACTTCGACTGTAGAGACTGGACTTACCCACCTGGCACCCTACAGACATCACACCTGGTGAGACTTAAATACGCCATGTGGTCCTGTCATGTCAGTGTGCTATCATGGTGCTGTGCTACAGGGTTAAAAGACGTCAACCCTGGGAGGACAGAAGCAGGGTATATGGAATCTCTGTGTCTGTACTGTTTTTGTAACTTTCTGGGGAAAAAACCTGCATTAGAAGTTTTTAAATTCTACCATCCAAAGCTAAAAATCTCTTCTGTCAGGATTACCTGTTGGAGGATGAGGTACAATTCCTAATACTTGTAAGAAACCAAGCACATGAGCCCTCCTTAGGTGCTCACTCCTCTGGTTGGCTTGGGAGGTGGTGGTGGTGGAGTGTGGTGTGCTTGTTCCTCACCAAACAAAGTGTATGAACTCAGGAGTAGGAGTGGCTGGCACTTCCCAAAGCTGGGAGTAGATGCTGAGACCACAGTAAACACAGCAGAGGATCCCCAGTGCTGGCTCACCACCAGTCCCTCCCTGCTCAGCTGTGAGATTGCCCACAAACCCCTCAGCCCACTTTGGCAGGGTGGGATATGACAGTCTAATCTCACTGAATGCACAAGGATGAAGGGAGACCACTGGGTGAGTAAAGAGCTTGTCTTACATTACTTTTCTTGTTTCTGAGACAAAATACCTGACACCCACAAGTTAAGGGAGGAAAGGCTTATTTAGCTCAGTTTGTAGAGGTTTCAGTACATGTTGGCAGGCTCCAAGGCAGGGTGGCATTGCCAAGGAGGAACAGTTCATGGTAGGCAGAAGACAGCAATGCAAGCAAGCAGGCACAGAACCTTAATAGCCTTTTTCTGCCCTTTTTATACTCTATCTAGGCTACTGAGATTAGGTAGTATCAAATCAATTAGTAGGCTGATTTAGTAATCACATGCCCTCAATCCTAGCACCCTTAATCCCAGCATTGCAGCATGAATCAATCATACACACACACTCTAGGTCCAGCCATCTCTAAAAAAGGCCCACTTGTGACCACATGAGGCTTTCGGGGAGATATCTAAACACAAGCTATAACAGAGTTGTACCTGGAATGCAGGGCACATCACTACCCGCTCCACCACGCTACTGTGAGAAACCCAGTGTGGCAGCAAGAAAGCAAGCCAAGGTCAGCAGAAGGGAAAAGGGAGGCATAGACAGTAGCTGACCCTCTCCTCCTATGAAACCAGCAGGCTGGAGTGAAGGGACATCACAGCCACCAAGGGGCTGTGCTCCACAGGCTGGCAGGTGAATCCTGCTGCTCCCAGTCATCCCCAATCCACTGTGTGAAGGACAAAGGCAGTGCCCAATCTCTGAGGGTACATGTGTACCAAGCCATGAGCTGATCTTTAACAGTGCTGTGAGCAAAGCCCTGCAGGTGACTATGATGGGTACCACAATGGGCACCATGAGTCCAAAGCTGGTCAGCAGTACCCTCCCCTGACCAGGTGGAGACAAACCCTTCACAGAATACAACAAAGCTCAAAATCTTAGCAAGTCTAAGATGTAGTAGTTAAATATATCTTAAATCCTGTGAAAAAGTAAATTGTAGAGAGAATAAGAAATGAGGTGCTAAAAAAAAAAAAAAAAAAAAAAAAAGAAAGAAAGAAATGAGGTGCTAGGTAAAGCGTTATCTAGCTTAGACTAACCACTTTAAGACCAGAGTCCTGTTTCAAAATAGGAGCCTGGAATGGTGGCTCACTCCTGGTAACCCCAGCACTTGCAAGGGCCACGGAAAGAAGGCCATGTGGTCAGTTTCAGCCCGGGCAACCCAGTGGCTGAGACTCAGTTTCAGAATGAAAATGGGTGGGGCAGGAATTCAGTGTGAAGGCTGTGGGTCCAGGGCTCAGAACCGCAGGAAAAGAAAAAGACCCAGCAGTTGTAAGAGTCCACCTCTGCAGACTCAAGCTTGGCTCAGGTGCTTCTTTGGTTCCCAGGCACACCTCCCTACTTGGCAACATCTGCCCCAGGGACCCTTGTGGGGATGCAGCCATAGGCAGCTGCACACTGCCCTGTACCCTCTGCTGTTTATACCAGAGCTCCCTGTGCCAGCCAGGGCAGGTGGTCTGCTGTAGTAACCATGCTGCATCTGCTAGGACGTGTGAGGTCAAGGCCTGCACACTGAGGAAATCTGACAGGGCACATGGAAGGATACCTTCTTCAGGGGGCAGACACCAGGCCAGCACCAACGCTGTGTAGGCTCAGCCCTGAGGGTCTGGCTCTTCTCTGGAGCACATGCCTCACACATACAACTCTTGGGCCTAAAGCAAGAATATATTTTTCAAGTCCACAGCCTAAAGTGGGTGTTGTCTTGTAATTCATAGGAAGGAGCCCTAGCGCAAGCTAGGCACTAAAAATAAAAAAGCCTAGGCACTTAAAGAAGAGAGGCTAGAAGGAAAAAGCATTGGGGGCATCACTGGGATTTCTGCACAAGTTTTAACATGATGATGGAAGGCAGGCAGGAAAACCACATTCAGAACAAGCTGCAGCACTCTCGGGACCCTTCACTCCTCACCCGGAGAGGCCTGAGTGCACCCCAGGTGGCCCCTGCATGATGTGTCCATCTGCAGGGTGTGCTGACACACATGGACCGCAGCCCTAATTGGTCATATCTTTTCCTCTGTGCCTGCCATTAGCTCCTTTTTCTTCTTTCTCTCACAGAAGGGTAAAACTTAGAAAATTTCAGATTGCTGACTTCCAAGGTTTCCTCATAGAAAATGCCTATAATTTTATTTTCTCTATTTTTGAAGCACTTTCTCTCAAAAGCTCTTGATTGTAAATTATATGGTGCGTAGAATACAAACGAGAAAACGGTGCCTTAGAGTGAGAAACCAGATCTCAACTGTTATTTCTAAACCTAACTATGAGGATAACCGAGACAGCCAAGAAATATCAGATCAATGACATTTAATTATAATGTCGTGTTTAAGACTTTCAAAGATTTGAAGCTTTTGGAACTAGGACCATGACAGGTGGCAAGAAAATGACAGAAGGATGGTATAAAACTGGAGCAAAACTTTTCTTGACAACATTTTTCTCTAACATTATTTATTAAGAGACTGATTTTTAAATAACACGCTGTAACTAAGCCAGAAACTATTATTTTTAAAAACTAAATGTTTAAGATCAATTTCAATCCTCCTCCCCTTTTTAATTCTAAGAGATAAAGGAAACTGGAAATCATCATGACTTTCATTAACAAAAACTGCCTATGGGTTAAAAACCTGCTGTTTTTAATCTCGGCCATCCCTAAACATCTATTCTCATATTTCTTCAGTAATATGTGAGCACATGGACAGTGAGGCTCAGGGAGTGCCGACATGTTTCCTAGAGTCAGGTAGTGAACATTTTAGGCTCTGCAAATATTCTCTAACCCAACTACTTAACTCTGCTGGGAAGTATGTAAATAAGTAAATGTGTAAGTGAGTGGGTATCACTGAATTTCAATAAAATGTCACTGACTGCAAGAGGCAATGGGTCACAGTGGCTGACTCCTGACTGAAGTGGAAAATGCATGTTCCAGGTCCCTTAAGAACTGGGGCCTGGTTAGGTGAGTCATGACAGCCCTGGGCAGTGGGTGACAAGTGTGTGTCTGTGTGGGAAGGAGTATGGCTGCCCTCCCTACCCTATTCTTCAGCCTATGTAAGAAAAAATGATAGGGGGTCAAAAGCCATTCTGCACCATCAATGAAAGCCAAGTGTTAGGAATGTGGCCAGGTTGCCCTCAACATGAGCCACAGCCTATTCCAGATGCCTCCTCAGACTCAGAAGTAAAATAAGCTTTGCCTTTCTTGAATCACTAGAGTTCACTATGTCTTATTACAAGTCTTACCTGTTTCCCAAGTAATTTGCCAATTAGGAAAAGAAGGAAACTTTATAATTCTTTAAAAAAAAAATTGCTTGAAAAAAATCACTTTTAAGCACAAGACTTTAAAATGTTGAGTTTTAAACTAAAAGAATATATAAATTCAATTATGTCAGTCTTCCAGTAAAGACATCACTACAGCAGTCTGATTGTTCCTTTTGGGTCTTTCTTTACAGTCAGCCCCACTGATTACTTATCCTACACTCTTCATTCCAATCTTATGCTACAGCCTATTTTTCTGTGCCAGTACTGATCAAGACAATCTGTGAGATGGACCACTTGTCATCACTAAAATACCGGGAGACAGGAGTCCTGGCAGTGGATTCCAGCAGCACCAGGGCCAAGAAGAGCACACTGTCTCTCAAGGTCATCACACTGGAGGGGATACACTGCACTCTAGTTCTGTGTCTCGCAGCCACGCATTTGGTCACTAAGGCCTGTGCGACAGGATCTGCAATGCTGTTTTTCATCAAGAGTATCAGGCTATGCTGACACTACAGATAGTTCCCACTCTTTAGGCACTGCCTTTCTTAATCCATTCCTTCTATTTTTTGCTGGTTTTGTGTTTCACATAAAAGCTGAGTGACAAAACCCAAAACCAAAACTGAAAAGCTAGATTTTTGAATAAATGGTAAATTACTACCCATACACTTAAGATTAACAAAAAACTTAAAAAACTTTTTGGGCTGTTTTCTACATAATGAAATGTAGCAATGATATAAGCCAATAAAATTATTATACTATCATTTAGTTTTCAAAGATACAAAATGTAAGGAAAATTGCATTGAAAAATCACTGTTAAAACAGAAAGTCTATAGTGACTGAAGAAAATGTGATCTGGATCAGAATATTAATGGTGATTCGACCAAGCATTAAGAATGTAGCTTTTAGGGGCCAGGGAGATGGCTCAGTGGAATAAGCGCTTCCCTGGCAAGTGCAAGGACCTGAGTTCAATCTCTGGTTCTGCGGAAAAAAAAAAAAAAAAAGAATGTAGTTTTTAAGGACAAGCAGACAGAGTTGCAGCCTTGGGCTAGCAGCTCTCTGGCATCAGTTAGGTGGTGTGAACTTGTCAAGTCTATCTTAAGGCAAATTCTCCCAACGTGTCACCCTTTTTTCACTACTGATTCACTTGATTATAAATTTAATTTTAAAAAGAAAACTCTTCCTCAATTATTTTCTTTCTCCATTAATCATTTAAATTTCAGCTCTTTGTTTTAAGTGTTCTTGAGAAAGGAACCCATCAGGCTAAAGAAAGTAAGAGAAATAAGAGCTTCATATTGGACCTACCCAGGAGTTTTGCTGAAAGAGTTTAAGCGCAGAGCCCTGGGCCATCTGTGTGCCACACAGTGCAGTGTCACACTTCAGAGAAAAGCCACTGTGAACCAGAGAAACAAGAAAACAACCTTGGCCAGCAAGGGGCTTCTACAGTCAGGCTCCAGGTAGGACAGCTGTCTAGAAGTGAAAAATCAGGGAGATCCCACAGCCTATCCAAATCAGCAATCATCTGACCCTAGTGTCAATGCTTTTTCCCCTAAATTATAAACCTCCACAATAAAGGTGAGGTTACTTAGGTTTCCAACAAATGGATAAGAAAAACTGCTTTTGGAAAACAATCTCCTCCCTTTCATCAAACCTGAGCTCAGTTCCCTGGGTTAGACTTTTCCTGTGATGACCTGACCAGTGAGGCTGGCCTGATTCTCCACTGCCTCCTGTGATGATTTTCCCTCATCTTAACCCAAATGTATACACAGTCTTCTCTTCCCTGCAATGTGGATCTGCGGACTTCCTTTCTGATCAAAGAAACAGTTTTTCTGCTCACCTACCTTTACCTACAATGAGAGATGTATTCTGATGAGCTCTCATTTGACAACATGTGAAACCATATGGACGCTGAATCTCTGGGAGGACTGGAGAACAGGTAATACTACCCTTGCAAACACAGACCCCTCTCTAAAGCATTTTTTTTCCTCCTAGAAGGAAGTTTCCCTTTCAAAAGCTCTGAAATTTCCTTTTAAAAGTCTTCATAAAATTTTTTGTGCCTTAAATTTTACATCAAGTAAGAATGAGTGTGTGTGTATGTGTGTGTGATACACTACACATTTAAGGATCATCCAGTTGGGATAGAAAAAGCCATCTGCTTTCTCTTGCCCATCTGTCCTTGGAGGCCACATGGCATGATGCATCTGCTGGCTACTGCTGGCCCTGCTGCAGGAAGCAGGCCCATGGATGAGAAAGACAAATGAGGGTGTGAGTCTTACCTCCCAGTGGCTGAATACCAGCTGCGGGCTGGCCAGGCCACTTGTCCTCTTCCTGATCTCATCAGCAAAACCAAAGCTTTCGGCTACAGGCAGCACTGCTTTGATGATGAACATGTCTGTCCCTTCTTTCATTTCTTCTTGAAGCACCGGTCTTCTCTCTTTGACAAGACAGCATAGACTCGACCTGCAAAGCCAAAAATCTTTAAAATTCACTGACTGACTGTCTGGCTTGAGCAACATAAGGACATGATTACATCTTGATACTGTAACATCTGTTATTTCTTAAGGCTTGGGCATTTAAGTGTTTACTTCAAAAATAAGTAAATAGAGAAATAAAATACAGAAATAAAAGATAGCAAACCCCAAATTATACTACCAAAACACAATCTCAACATAGCATGAGAAGCAGGAAACTTACAAAAGAACACTTGATATAATTACACCTAGGAATTAATATCTGTGCACGAGGTCCCACAAGATGGACATAACCAGGCTCTACAAATCGTAAAATATTTTAACAATTATGAGACATTATAAGATGATGGCAGTGGTCATTATGGTGACACAGGCCATTTGGGCTGAATAAGCAAGTGCATAATAGCATTATATAAATGTTATTTTTTTCTTAAACATAATATCTAAGAGGTATGGTATTATGAGAATTTTATTCCACTAGAAACTGATAGCATTTGGAGTTTTTCACACCTGATGACAATTTCTAATGTGACATCACAGAATTCTAGCAGATTCCCATGGCTGACCAATGTTTCAGGCCCAGTTCTCCCTCACACAAAGGAGGAAGGGCAAGATCATCCCCTAGCCTGGTGTGTGCATGAATGCCTGTGGGTACACAAAGTCACCTTTCAAATAGGAAGAACAGACTGTACAGAACAGAGATGAATTAAAAATCACAGAACATCCAAGAGAAATTGCTGCAGCTAGCAAACACTCTCATTAGAGCTTCCTCTTTCACCTATTGCTTAAAGAATCATTTTAATTACACCACTGGTCCATGCATATGTAAATACACAGCATGGCAGGCAGGGAGCCTCACAAATCCTCCTCTCCACAGTCACAAGCTGATGACCGGCAAGAAGTGCACCCAACCCACTGTCACCCTGTGTTTTATACCAGGACTTGAGAAACAGCACTACTGACTCATTCTTCTCTCCACATGGGCTTCCCTTGGGAAACCACCTTCAGAAAACTCAGGGTGTCATGAGGCCTCGTGGTTTTAAATTAAATGAATGAATGAACAGGTAACTTAACAAACCAAAGGCACTGCCTCTACTCTGCTCCCCAAGCTGGCCACCACACTCTCCTTTTCTTCTCCTTGAAAGGCAGTGCCTGTTTCTCCACTGCACGACCTTTGACACCAATGTTCTGCTCCTGTCCAGAGCTCTACTGAAACTGTTCCCTTGAAATTTCACACAATTTGCATACTCCTAACCTGATGGGTGCCTTTTTCTGAATTTTCATTCTGCATGATTTCCCTGTGGTTTTTAATTAAGTTTACTGGTACACTTAAGGTATGCATAATGATCACATTCATCATAGGGAGTTCGTACCTGTACGTAATATAACCTGATTATTTTTCCTCATTCCCTTACCCCTTCTTCTATTGCTTTTCCTCTCATTTATGAAAGTTTTGTTTCCATTTTTGCCTTCTTTTCTCTTCCTCCCTTCCCCCCGCCTCCAGTTTCCCTTCCCATTTGAAAATTTTCTTCCTATTTCATAAAAAAATACATTGTTTCGGTCCTTATTTACACTTCCGGTTTCTCACACCTGAGAAACAATGTAAGTAGTACCTGAAGCTACAGATCAGTGCTTGTTTGCTCTGCTAATTCTTGCCAGTCTTAGCATTACCCCCTCACACCTCTGGCTCTGATCAGTGTTCTCCTGCTCATCTTACTCCTGAGTGTAAGCTTCTTCCTGTGAGAGTATTCTTTGACAGTTCATACTCTTCTTTGAACTCTCCTTGGCAGAGAACCAATTTATTTATTTGTGTGATTTAATTCATTTCATGCCTGAGACTTCTTTCTCCAAGCCAGGACCTTCCCACCTACCACAATCACATTTACAATGGCTGCCAGGGCATCCTCAGTGTGGAACCCAACTTTCTCTTAAATTCGGCATGTCTAAGAATCATTGCCTACTGCAAAAGGTAATGTCCAACTGTAGTCATTGTCCTTGTTGTGCATACTAGAAATGTCAGTTACAGAATCACAACAGTAGGGAGAGGAACTTAAGGATCTACAAGTCCTCCTGTATTAGTCACTTCAATTCTGCTGTACGCAGACCCTAAAACTGAGTGGCCCCCAGGCAGCACTTCATTTCCCTATGGCCCCAACAGCCACACAACCTTGGGACCTCAAATCTGTTCCTCTTTAGTTTTTACCCATGAGTTCCAGTTTCTAGCCGGTTTTCATTAAGTTGGATAAATTTAATCCTTCCACAAATCAGTCTTTTCTTTCCCAAATTAATCTTCTTGTGATATGCTTTGTATTTCTTCTTTGTATATGCTCAGCTACTTTTCTTTCAACTCCCACGATTTCTTTACCTTAGTGTGTGTTGCCTGTAAATGAATATACTGTAATACTTCTAGTCTGACAAGCTCTAAGAAAAGTAATACAACTATTATAGTCACTAGTAATTCCCTTTAGGGTATATATTAGTTTGATATACAGAAAAAAATATCTTACTGTAACAGCTAGTGGGTATCAACTAGTAATCTTTATTCTTCTATCTCATGCTAAGGAAAGTATTAAGGTGGTCTGTGGAAGTAAATAGAAAACCATAGGGGTTAAAATGATTAAGGAAGTAATTTGGGGCAGAGGGACCAGTACAGATAGTGAATGGGGACAGGCTGCTAGGCAGCTATTGCAACACAGGCCATAGCTCTTCTTGTTGTGGGTCATGCAAGAAGACTTGGATCAGTACCTGTAATTGACACCAAATATAATTAATCATGTACTATATTTTTTGGGCCATTTGGTTTTAATTCCACTAAAACTACTTTTCAAAACTGGGGCACAGTGGTGGGTCACTCAACAAAGAAACACTCTAATAGAACTTCCCCAACACACATGTAGCTTGCATGACAGGTGTGTCTATGCTTCCATGGACTCGGAGGGCTCTAAACCTGCCACTGTTACCATTGGGAAATCAACGTGGCAAGTCAAAATACAACTTAGATCACATCATCTGCAGGGCTCTAGACATTGCTCTTGCATTTGTTCACTTAAGAGAAAGATCCCTGGATGCCCTGCGGTATGGGGGGTACCAAAGAAGAATTCTTTGGGGGAACATAAAGCAAGAGTGTTAATCACCTGGAATCATTGGATCTGGGCTAGATTCTCAACTATGCTATGAATGTCTCATTTCCGCGTAAGGCCCCAAGATTGGCAGTGGCCTACAGTATCATCAGCCCCTGTGAGGGCTACAGCGAGAGACTGAGTACAGACCACAGTCTCTGAGCCAAGAAGACTGTTCCCTGTCCACAGCACCATCAGACCTCTTAGCTCCTGCAGTTGGCAACACACAGTCTCAGTCCAAATCTATCTTGAATCTTCTCATCATTCACAGCCCATTCAAAAACAACTTGCTGTATGAAGTCTGATACCCCTAAGCTTAAAACATCCTCTTGCCCATTTGAGCTCCAATAAATTTCATCTGTTAGTTACGACATTACAGATTCATATATGCAAATGCTTCTTCAGCGCTAAGATTACCTAATGTTGATTCTATGATCTTTTAAGGTAGAAGAATAGTATAGGTATGCTATAGTCTTTTTCTCAATTTAGGAAAGGAATCAACTATTCATAACACTGTGTTAAATGGTAAGCTAACAGGAAACAATGTGTACTTCTACCTTGGGGTTGATATTTAATGTAAATTAGAGCACTTCTAATTAATAAGAATTATTAGAATGCTTCTGATATATTGAAGCATATATTAATAATGTTGACATTCATTCCTGCACATAAAAACAGAAATACAATACTCATAGCTTGGATTAAAGTTTTAATACTGCCAAAGAAAAAGGAATATTTTTAAAATGTGAGGTTACTGCCAAAGATAAAAAGAAAACAAAAATGAAACAATAACAGGTTAGAAAAAACAGAGATAAATGACTTCTCATGACAAGAAAGTAAAAATATGATAGTTAAAGAAGCCCATTAAAGGGAACTGTCAAAGGCTAAACAAAGGCAAGAAAAGCAAAAAGGGGCATTGTCTTGGATTCTTTTCCCAGATAAAAATAATTTTGAGATGATTATTTTCCTCCAAAGTTTCCCATTCCTATGCAATTCCACCCAAGCATTTACTGTTTTAACAGTCTGCATACAAAGAAGTAAATTTTAAAAAGATTAAGGAAATTTGTTTTGTTAGATAAAAAAATAAACCTAAAAACAACTTTATGTTGCTTTCTAGAGAATTAAAAGGAATGGCCAGCAAAGTCTGATATTGTCTCAGAAGATTAACAGAGATCTTACAGACAGAAGCAAACCCAAGGAAAACAGTAAACTCTCTTCATTTCTTTTCCGACTTAAAGATGCTGATTTGAAAAGGGAAAACAGCCAACCATGTTGACAGACCTGGGACTCCAGAGACTGGCCCTCAACACCAGAGAGCCCCTGTAAAGCAACAAGAGAAGAGGCCTCAGAAGAGATTGTCTAGACTAAGCAAGAAAACCTCAAACCACTGCAGCGGAAGAAAACAAGTTCAGATCAGACCTAAACAGTTTCTTTGTAAGGCAGTGGTGTGATAGCAAGTTGCTAACAGGAAAATGGATTAAGAAATGGTACCAGGGACAATGGTCCAGATATGGTACACTGACCAACCCACAGCTGCACAGCTGCCACAGTGGGGGAAAAAATGGGAGTTCACAGCCCATGTGTGTGGGGTTGCTGAAGCCTGGCACAATGGAAACTGCAGTGGGCAAGGCAAGGCAAGGCAGAGTGGTACTCTGCCCCAGAGAGAAAAGAGGACAAACAGTCCCAAGGGCTACGACAAGAAAATAGCAGAGTATGATGCGAAGAAAAAGAAAGGCAGGATGGGATAAAAGCAGGAATGACTAAAGGTAGTTTAAGGTACTGCTCTGGGGAGGCCTGGTCACATGTAGTCTACGTGGTGATTCCCTATGAGAATGAGAAAATGGACAGAGAGGCATGGCTTGACAGGGTACTAGGAATTTCAATCTGATAAATGCCAACAACATATTCTGGCTTTACACGGCATACTGAAATATGTCCTCACAAAACAAAAGTATAAATGCCATTTGAAATGGATCACACAGAAGAGATGACAATTTGGAGAAAAAATGTATTTCCATTATTTTAGTTATTCCATTATTTAGACTAGTTATCATTGTCTTCAGAGAAAGAAGATTGAGACCCTAGACTTTGGGATGATCATTTCAAATACACAGAAGGCAATGGAAAAGAAAAACAAAGCCAAAAAACAACAGCCTTTAAAATAATAGACCCTAAGGAGAGTCTAAAAAAAATCAATCATGAATGACCTCAACACAAAGTTAAACTAACTTAAGCTTTATCTATTGCAATTGCTAGGCTGATAATGAAGGGAACAGACACAGCAGACCTGATCTTCATCAAATACTTGATTTATAACTTGTGAGTTTTACTTTTCAGACAAGAACATATGAAAAAAGTAAAAAAGGAAGAAATATGTAAATATTAAAGTTTTTTTTTTTTTTTTTCCATCAAAATATTTTCCTGGGCCGGTCAGAGAGCTCAGCGGATTAAAGTGCCTGCTTAGGCACACGCAGGAACCCGGGTTCAATCCTCAGCCTGCTGTGCTAGCCCCACCCCTAGGGCATACTGAGATGGCTTTGATTGAGACTGGGCATGGTGGTGCACACTGTAATCCCAGCACTTGAGACGCTGTAAACAGGAAGGATCACTCCAAGCCTAATCTATGTAGAGACCCTGCAGACCCTGTACTAAATACATTAAAAAAAAAAAAAAAAAATCCTTTATTGTTGCTGACATGCTGGTAGGTAAATACTGGAGTTTGTGAGACTATACAATTTCTATAATCTAACCAATCATCACCATGGGAAGACATAATTTATTTTTAAAAACAGAAATGGGGATCATCCGAACTTTCCACATGCTAGGACAAGATGGAAGCCCTAACCACTACAAGTCTGTATCCCACATGGGAGATAACACGTGTCTGTGTTCTTACTGGCTGGACAACCTTTCTGGAACTGTTCAAACACAGTTCCTTTACTTAAGAGGGATACTGAACAGGATGGATGCTCAAAGGACAGGAACTGAAACGGCAGACAAGCACAAAACCCCTGCCAACAGCTGATGAAGCATGTTGTGGTTTACATCCGGGTATCCCTCCAGAGCCTCAGGCTCTCATAGGTAGGGCTCCTAGGAGAGGAAAGGACCATATGGGCAAAACCCAGGAGCATCTAGTATTTCTTGTCTCCAGCTCCTTTCTTCACTTTCTGTTTCCTAACTAGCCCATGAACAAAGCTGCTTCTGCTCAGGTCCTTCTGCCATGATTCTTCTTTGCAGTCCACTGGCCATGAACTAAAATGTGCACCCAAATCAACCTCTCCTGCTTTAAATTGTGGGTGCGGGGTAATACTGTGTCCCAGCAACAAGGAAAGTGACTAAGAAAAACAAGTAGAAAAGTAATGCTCTTCTCAAATTCAAGAAGTGTTGATCTACTGAAACAGGTACGTACAGCAACAAAGGAGTGGGAGAAGGACTCGAGGCTCAATACATACGCACACCGACAGATCACAGAAGTGAGAATGAGTGGCATCTACAGAAATAGTCACGCGTGGTCAGAGAGACTGCAGAATGGCTCTGAAGTCTTCCTTCAATTTCTGCCTTAAGAAAGTTCTAAAGGAAAATACATAATAACATTTAAAAATGCTTTAGATGGGCACTCCCTAAACCTATAACTCCATGAGATGCTGACAGGTAGCTGTATCCACATGAAGCAGAGAACCACTATACATGGCAGGTGATGCTCAGAGACTCCATTTACTTTATGGCACACACTGGCTTTATGTAGTCTTGCGGTTACTAATCTCGGTGACACTGCTTAAGGTAGCTGTTTTTTGAAATGCTGCTCTGGATGCTCAGCTGGTCTCACAGGAACTTTATTGTGAAGTGAGCCTGAGTTTCCTGGGTGGGGGTGGGGTTATATGCCTGTAATCCCAGGAGGATCAAATGTCTGAGTACTGCCAATTGCAACTTGACAAGACCATCCCACACTGAAAAGTACAAATGGGCTGAGGATGTGGTTTCGTTGCAAAAGCCTTGAGTTCAGTCCCCGGAAACTTCTGTCCCACTCCTCGAAAAAGCTCAAATTTCTTTTTTCAGGTGTTAACAACCAAAAGCAACTTACTAAAAGAGGTAGATTCCCACATAGAGGACTTAGGTCTAGAGGTCTAGATCCATGCACTGCCTTTCCTTAGTATGCTCATCACTGCTGCACCTGTTCCATGCGCTCCTGAGAAGAGATCTGCTGGGCTAGGGGTGTGTTCTCATCAAGCTATCACAAGCTACTGCCCTCTTCGCAGAGGTGCGGTAATAGTGGTTAAAAGCCAAAATAGCCACTAGTGTCACAGATCAGTGTTTTCTGAGATCCCAAAGAGTAAATAATCACAAATGGATAAAACCCTCAGCTAATTCTGGTTTTCAGAAAGGACCTGAGAAGAGAGTCACACAGCCCTTCTGTGCTGTCAGTACAAAATGCTGCCTTGCAGTGTGTGGTAGCACATGTCTGTAATCCCAGCACTCAGGAGGCTGTGCCAGGAGGATCACCACAAGTTCAAGAACAGCCTGGGCTGCAGAGCAAGACTGTCTCAAAAATAAAACAAAGCAAAACAAAACAACAAAAACATGTTGTCTTATTCTTTGACCATTTTCAGGATGACTTTGGCCACAAACATGGCACATTTATTCACTGGAGAAAAAAACAGATGCACAGGTTGGGATGGTAAGAGATTCTATTTGTTCCAAAAGGAAAGACCTTCAGTAGGCATGTATGTTCTTTCCTCAAGGTTTTAGTACTTACAGCTTCTGATTTTCTAAGATCTTAACTCCTTAGTAAATCAGAAGATGATACTGCTTCTATAAATACACTGAGTGCAGGACTTGGGGACTTCACTACCACCCAGGGCACCTCTTTTCTTTATTTCCAGGCTTACCGAGAACATCGCTGGTGGCCATGATGTCACAAGTATACATAGCTGCCATCAGGCGCTGTGGTTTCACCTGCAGGGCATAGCGACATGCTTCCTTCATGGTGGCAATCAACTGTCCTGAGAAGGGTCCATAGCAATCAGTGACTGGAGATTCTCCTTTCTGGGAAGTTTTCTCAGAGGCCTCGGAGCAGCCAGCTGGTGACTCTTGGTTTTCATCTCCAGCAGGACAGCTTCTCTCTCCCCACTGGCCCTCTCCAACCACATCACATTTTTCATGATTCTGGTTAACACTCGCTCCTTGTTCTTCAAGCTTACTTATGTCCCATTTTTCCAGAATAAAACAGACACCCATGAGGGGCTCCTCACACATGGGGCCAGAGAGGGTTGCCAGCTGGAAGCCACTCACAATGCTATTGCCCAGGTCTCGGTATCTATTGGCTGCCTGGGAAGCTCTTCCAGCTGCGCCTGTCCACACTGAGTTTTGAAAGTCCATACTTCTACTGATCAGTATGTTGGGCCCACATTTTCTTGGGCCAAATGACCAGATTTGGTCAACGGTGTTCCGCCATTTTCTCCCTGTTAGGTGTTGCTCCAGTTTTCCTTTGAATTCCCACATTTTCTCTTGGGTCTTCTGATGAATCATCTGAGTATTTTTGCCCTCATCCAACAAAGATGTCAGCTGTTCCATAGAACGAATCAAATCACTGTTTTCTTCCAAAATCTGAGTGACTTCTTCTGGAAGGGGCATAGCCCGGACACTGAGGGTAGCAAGTTTGTTGGGGGTTGTGATGGTGATCAGCCCATCAGAGTCGACCTGGACCCCTTCAGGGATTTTGCTCTGATCATCTCTTGTTTGGTGTATGACTGCAACTTTCTGTTGTTTTTCTATTTCTTCATTGACCATGTCAACTTTTGGGGGTTTTGTGATTGTTTCTCTGAAAGGAATAATGGGTTCCGATACACTGATATGAATCTTTGCAAACCTACAAAATCAAGAGAAATAAAGGCTTACAATCAAAATGGCATCAATGGATCCTTTTATGCAATGAAAACTGTGCACAAATACAGAAACTTAGAAATTGTTTTGCATGAAAGACAGTAATTTATAATACATCACAATTCATATATAATGCTGCCTTCATTTTGGCTTGAAAAGAATGCCTCTAATGGGAACACACCTTCAGGGAGTTCTATGCTTGTACTGAAATTTCACTGCTTCATTCATTCTCAAAATAAATTAATTATCTATTTAGACAAGAATGCTTTGAGTGGAAAATAAATGTTTTAACAAGACTTGACATATGAACTCTTCAAAATACAATTTGCCAATCTAAAAGTCTGGAAAAGAAAAGCCCAATCATTATAGCTCTAAATATACATACATAATCAGAGAATTTCAGGAAGGACAGTCAAATCCTTACAACATATTTTGTTTTTATAAGAGGCTCAGAGGCTGTCAGGATACCTATGCCTTGATTCTATAACTTCATGGTGATTGCCAAGCACTTGGCCAGTACAACTGAAAGGAATGACTGTATTTAAACAGCCATGCTTAGCTATGGAACATTTGAAATCTGGCTAGCATGACTGAGAAATTGGATTTTTAATCATAATTTTAACTAATTTGATTTCAAAGAGTTTCACACAGGTAGTGGCCATTATACTGGACAGCATAGGTCCTAAACCCTGACTTGGCACCAAGTTCAGAGAGCCCTTTTCCCATATAACACAAGTTTAGGCGCAAGCAGATTCTGATGATGGCAATCTCTGTCTTCTAATTTGCCCATTTCTCATTGTCAGTTACTGCGGCTCCAGTCTGGTCCATATCCATTACTGGAAATATGGATAGATACATGTAAGAAGTATGCATATGTTATATACGTACATATATAGATTAGAAGAACTTTTCCCTAGGAAATTTTTGAAATGTTTATATTTAATCCTAGATTTACTCTACTTTGTACAAGTGGAGGTTTCTAATCTTATGATTTTGATAAATTTGAAAAGTCAACAATTTTCTGAAAAAAAAAAGAAAATTTGATATCCAAATTAATTTTAGAATATAGAATTTGAAAAAAACACTATAACCTGTGGAAGAAAATAAAAGGTGGAGCATGCCTATAATCCCAGGACTGTAGAAGGCTGAGGCAGAAGGATCGCAAGCCTAGTCTGGGCAACTTAGTGAGACTCAGGCCCAAAAAATAAAATACAGGTTGGGACTGTAGCTCAGTGCAAAGACCCTGGTTCAAGCCCCTCTATTACTTAAAATAAAAGTTATTGTTTTGTAATTTTTTATTTCCAAAGATTTAGTGTTTCAATTAATATATATGTAGAACACACTAGATATCTACATGTATTAATTTAGTTATTCTGACACTCAAACTCAACAGCATGCATAGACAAAGCTACAGTTTAATCTTACCCAAAAATTCTCATATAGAAGCTAAGCTAACATCATACAATGAAAAATAACTACATGTGCATTTTGTTTCTGATGTTGCCTTCTTAGGTAGGAGGTAGGGGTTACCACTGTAAGTGCTCTACATGCATTACTTCTTCAGCAGCATTAGTACTATCCTCATTCTGTAGAGGGGAACATTAGAGAAGACAGATCAAGGTTCTTCTCCAAATGGCTAGTAAGTGGAGAATTTAGGAGCTAAAACTAGATCTGACTTCAGAATCTGCATTCCCAGTCATTATGCTACATTGAAAAACAGAGTTATACAATATATTAAGGAAATTATTCACAACAATAGTCTTTTTAAAAATAATTGGTTATTAATAAAATATGTCAAATGATGAGAAAAAAATGTCAAATTAAAAATTTAACTTCTTGAACCATCTTTAAAAATACAAAACTGGCATTCAAGAAAATTCAATACCTGTTCTTGATTTTTACATGTGAAAACAAAAAGACTAAGCATCTATGCCATATCTTTTTTTCTAGCAAGCCAAGAATAAAACTGATAAGGAATATCTTCAAAATAACTAGAGCAAACATATACTATGGAAAAATCCTTGAAAGCCACCATTTGCAGTCAGGATTAAGACTGTTACAGGCTGTGCTGTACCATAAGATCTGGGAAGCATTATAAAGAAGAATAAAAATACAAACACTAAAATTGTATCAGAAAAATAATGTCATCATGGGCTAGAAATCTAGGAGTCTTGAGAAAGTATTAGGAATAGAAAATAGCTTCAGCATAATTTTCATATTCCAGAGTAATATGCCAAACCTATTTTATTTCTCCCTACTAGAAATAAACAGAATATGACTTTTTTTTTTTTTTTTTTTTTATTGGCAACACTGGGCATTGAACCAAGAGCCTTGTGCTTGCCTTGCAAGTTTTCTACCACTTGAGTTATCCTCTGCCCTGAAAAATGTTATTTATAAAGTGATTCAGACTGCCCATTTAATGACACATAGCACCTTCACACAGAGATATAAAGATTTCTAGAAGGTTCACCTTGTGGAGACCACAACAATGAGAAAAGTTTGTCTTAATCTCACCTACATTTACAAAGATTTTGTTTGTTGTCCTTATATGTGTTCTTTATGTACATGCTTAAAGTACAATATACACATATGAAAATATTTTATAATTCAAACTAAAAATGCAAAATAGTTCGAGTAGGCATTAAGTTCCACTTTTTAGTTAATAAAAATTATATTTATGATCTAATGACAGTCCTGTCTGAATGGATGGCATTTTATTTTCCTCCAAAAATAGGCTACAGTCCATACTTACGTGGTTTAGGAAACACTGAAAAACATCCCACTGACTGTAGACCTATCAACACTTTCTCCATCTCTAACAATTTAGCTAACCTTTCTTTTAAGTCATCCAAGCATCGCTGAAGGTGAACTTCCCCTGCTGTGACCAAAACGTGCTCGCCTGTTTCCTGAATTAAAATCTGGACACAGGGATCAGCTTGGTTCAACAACTTCATTCCTTTCACAAGCTGAGGCATTTCACCTGGGTTAATACATAAAATATTGATTATTAGAACCAATATAGTCTAAAGACAATAGGCACTTAAGGGAAATTCCAATAAAATAAAATATTTTTTCGCGGAACCGGGGATTGAACTCAGGCCACTGAGCTTGCCAGGCAAGTGCTTATTCCACTGAGCCAGCTCTCCGGCCCTAAAATAAAATATTAAAGTTATGGTTACAGTTTATGTTTCTTCCAAGTAATGCTGCAATGTGAATAAAATTACCTTCCATGCATTGACTGTACAGCCAACATAAGACACAGGCTTACCACCAAGGTTCCAAAGATCATCTACACAACTACTTCAAATGGTCAGTAGATACAAACATCATTCTTATAAAAATTAAATTTATGATCCAGTATTACCGAATCTTATAAATGTACATACTATATACCTAGAAATGTATCACAACGCTTCCTCAAGTGGTTCATATCATATCAACAAATCAGCAAGATATCATTTAATATTATACAAAAGAAACTTTATCTGGGTCTGGGGAGATAGCAGTCTAAGAGCCTGCCTGGCAATCACAAGGACCCAGGTTTGATTCCCAGTAGTGCATGCCATGCCGGCCCCGCACCAAGCTGGCCACTGAAACCAACTGTGGTGGCACATATCCATAATCCCAGTGCTGGGAAGCTGAGACAGGAGGATCACTACAAGCTTGAGCTGTGTAGCAAGACCCTGACCAGACAGATAGATAGACAAACAGACAGACAGGCAGATGGAGA